CTATCCCGGGGGTTGGGGTTTCAATTGACTAGTGCATTATGGTGGGATGCAGCCCCAATTGTATGTTTCCCACCATATTTTACATGGCTCATGCCATATAACTTCAGTACATGGTCATTTTTGGATCCATGCCTGGGACATATCATAATCTTGAATCTAATTTGGGTATTCAATCATGTTTAATAGACAATTAGGCAGTCCACATATGGACTGGTCATGCTATGTCTAAGTGCATGGCTATTGCCAAAATAGCCTCCATCTACACAGAACACAACAAAGGTATAAAAATTACTTACCAAGTGATCACCCATTGTATATAATTTGTCTGACATATTCATAAATCTTTATTTTTATACTTAAGTTTACACTACAAAAAGGATAAAAATGAGACAATAATTACATGTGAGCATAATAATAGTCATAATTATCCCCCATAGCCATGTGATAAAATCATAGCTACCTCCTTCATATACCTTCCATGACAATTATAGTCACCTGCTTAACCAGGAAATAAAAGGAAATATGAGAAATGGCTAATTATTTAACTGTATGCACTCTTACCTACCTACCTATAATCTATCCATCACATATTATATGCAGTAAATACATCATTCTTGGTGTGTAAACTGATCAAGTATTTGGTTGACCTTGTTAAAACACAATAGGAATTGTTTATATATAGCAGTGATCAAACTTAAATTAATTACAAACAACAATAGGGACGGATTCGGAAGGAGCGGAGGACATATGATATGATAGCGTTTTTGACATATTCAAATTTCAAAGTTAAAAAGACTCTGACAGAAATTTAGAGTGTAATTGGAAAAATTTAAACAATATTTTGCGAATTAAATGTTTTGTTTATATTACGGCTTTTATTACAGTATGACCGCGGTTTCTTGTTTCATATATACTGAAAATATAGAGAAAAATATCAAAATGCAATGCCTATATAAAAGTGCTATAAATAAAGTTTAAATGTGCGTGTGCATTTCTTCGTCGTGCACTATGAAAATGACTAAAATCAAAAGGTCGGGTTGTTTTAAGCTTTTACAACTAACCTTAGTATTCTTCTTCAGTATTTTCCCCTCAATCTTCAGAAAAAACCACAAAGTTTAAGGTGGCTCAATACACTTTTTAGCCAAAGGAGCAAAAGTTGAATATTTTCTGTTTAAATGCTTTTACAGGGTTAAGTTTTACTTATAATTGTAACACATAGTAAGACGTGTCACAGACAAGAAGAATTCTGATAAAAGTCGCGTTTCCATGACAACTATAACGAATACTGGCAACACTAAATAGCCGAAAATATCGCAGTTTTTCGAGTTTTTTTAAAAAATGAGTTCGGTGACCCCAACTTTTTTTTTAATAAATCAGTTACGTTAGTGTCGAGAAACATTTCTGGGAAGTTTAAAAAAAATCTGTCGACTCAATTCTTTAGAATTAAATTTCGACTTTTTTGACAGTTTCTGTCGACAATTTTTTTTTATTTTTCCATCATGAAATCTTGAAGCATGTATCTACTCATGTACAAATTTTCAGGGTACCTTACCGAACTCGTTTTGGAAATAATCACGGTTTTATTCCGCGCGGCCAAAGTTTTTCACACTCTGCAAGATCAATGAATTGACATGCGCGTACATGTTTTCGCAGGCGCATCTCCAGAAAAACACGCACAAAAAAGTTTTTAGTCTCGTCGAAATATCAAATATATATTGTGTTTTCTTGCTTAGAAATGCAAATATATTTGGTTTTTCATGCTAACTCGGGATAACGCCAAGAAAACAGGTGATTGTCGGTCGTTTGGTATAAGATATGTGTGACATGTATGAACTTTTTGGCTTTTCTACATAGTTTTATATTCGTTTTCAGTCGTAACTTGTGTGTTTTCATGTTGTTGTTGACAAGTTAAAACAGTTTGAACCGGCGCACGATGCTGTTTCACTGAATTCCTTTGCTGTTAGTAACACTTTGAATACATTTACCAGTTGTAAGTACAAAAAAACTCTGGATATGAACTTATAAATCGCCAAATATTGGAGTAAAAAACTTTTCGCCGGTCCGGGGCCGATCGCCAGTTTTCACAAGAGTTTGAAAGTTGAACATTGCATTTTTTTACCTTAAAATGTCTTCTAAAAAGACTAGTTATTCAATGTTCAGAGCTAAATCAGGACGAAGTTTGTTCTTTGAGAACAAATGAGAACAAGGAAGACTCAAAACATCAAAATAAACATGACTTGTGGTTCGGATTTTATACCGAAAAAGTTGTATTTATTTTTGCATATATTTTTAACATTTTCGCGCGAGAACTGAAGATTAGGTACCAGTCCCCCAATGATGAAAAGTGTATGGAGCCACCTTAAACGACATTTATTTTGCTGTAAAAGCCCGTTTGATTTCTTGCTCTCGTGATATTCGTGGCATTCGTCCGTTTTGCATCCCAGCGGTTCGCAACAACCAATAAAAACACGTTTTCGTGTTGTTCAAATCATTATTTTACCGTCTATTTATAACAGTGCTGTTCACGGTTGTTCGAACAACTAAAAACAACTTGTTCTTTCATCAATGTTGTTCACGCTTGTTCGAACAATATTGTTGACGCCTGATGAATGAACAACGCTGAACAACATTGTTCTGACAACATTTATCAAGCATGTTTCATCAACCTTGTTGACGCTTGTTCCATCATGTTGCAACAACCATTGTTCGTTCATCAAGCGTGAACAAGTTGTTGGAACAATGTTGTTAACGATTGTCGCTTGAACAACGTTGTTCAGCCATGATAACCTCATTGTTGCAACGTTGTTCAGCGAACAATGTTGCAACAACCTGATCAATTTTTACGCGTGTACTTCATCTGTGATGTAAATAACCTGTCGTCAGTACTCGCGTCAGCACCTTGCGATTCACAAAATCGGGAGAAAAATCTGTAACACTAACACAGATTTTTCTCCCGATTCAACGATTTTTCTTCCGTTGTAAAGTTGTTGAAAACATTTCGCACACAGAAAACTATAATATGAACAGACGAGAGAGCGGACAGCTTCAATTGAACGTTTAAATCGCTAAATGTGGAAGAAGGAGCATGGGCCCGACAAAATCGGCCCGACAAATCGCAGCGTGTAAACGTAGCTTTACTTGCGTGGGCCGTGGGGTGGTTGAACAGTAAAATTACATAAAGTAAGGAGTGATTAACGACCGCGTACAACCATTTTTAACATGATTGTGGACTCACATTTTGCAAATAGGCGGGAATTTTTTTCAAAATAGTTTTGCAAATAGGCGGGAATTTTATTCAAACAAGAAAAACTCGAGGAAGAAGGCCGTTTTTACTTGAGATGTCTTCGTTAAAGCAAAGTGTAACTGTTTGCCAGTTACTATATCATGTTTCTTCGTGTAATGGGCCCTACGTCGTCTTAGAGAAATCTTCCCGTGCAAAAATATTGTGTTTTCGTCAAAAAACCAAAGCGATATAGCGTTTGAAGAGTTTATATTGTTAGGAAACATTCACAGAGAAGGTAGCGATTGAAAATCCCAGGTAAGTGTTGCTTTTCATTAATGTTTTACTGAAAAATGTTGTTCCCTCCTATACAAGCGCCATTTTTAACTACGTTTTGACTTTTGAGAAGTTAAGGTTAATATTTCACCTGATGAACGTGCGTTTTTATAGTCTATATTTGAACATGGCGCAACGAATTTTAGCTGCATGTAACTGTGTAACTTTACCAAATTTTTCATGAAGAAAGCCAAGAGAATGCTGATTTCGAAAATCTTCATTTGATGGGTGTTCTTTTTAAATATGTCGAGTAGTCTGACTAATGAAATATATAGGTATCCCGGCCATAGAAATAAAAATATGTTTATAGCTTACCTCAATGTTTGTTTACATATATCGATGGCAAAAAAAAAGTGCGCGGAAAATTTCTCTTCTTCAATGGTTTTTCTGATATGACGTTTTCTTTGACAACTTCGTGAATTATCAGTGACAAATCCAATAATCAGGGCATATCAGAAAAACACTAAAAGTAAAGAAGAGAAGTTTTCCGCACAGGTTTTTTTTAATACCGTGCCGAATTGCATAGACAAACGTTGAGGGGCAATTGATAAAACTAGAATAGTGAAGCGAATAGTGCGAATAGTGCGAATAGTCGACGAATAGTACGAATAGTCCGCGAATAGTCGACGAATAGTGCGAATAGTCCGCGAATAGTCGACGAATAGTGCGAATAGTCCGCGAATAGTCGACGAATAGTACGAATAGTCCGCGAATAGTCGACGAATAGTACGAATAGTCCACGAATAGGCGACGAATAGTACGAATAGTGCAATAGAGACTTTGCAAGGCTTTGCAGCAGTGCTGTAGAACTAAATTTACCGGGGGGGGGCTCTGTTGACAAACATGAAATCGTGAAAACATTCGTCGACGTACGTCAATGACGTCATACGTCTAGTGATTGTCATCAGTGGCGCCGTGGCCGGGGGGGGCATGGCCCTCCCCTATTGTTGACACCCGTCGTAAAATTGCCAATGCTGCCGGAAATTGTCGGAAAATTGTCAAGGCTGTCGGAAATTGTCAAAGTTGTCGACGGGGGGGGTGAAGATTTAAAATGTTGTCGTCCGGAAAACTTTTTGGTTTGTCGGAAAATTTTTCGGTTTGTCGGAAAAGTACTGCCCTTGCCCCCCCCCCAAAAAAAAAACATGGGTCCCACGGCGCCACTGATTGTCATTCTACTTCCTGTTAAATATTTGTTAAAACTCAGTGGTCCCGTAATTTTTACCGATTACGTATGACGTCATTGACATCAACGAATGTTTTCACGATTTCATGTTTGTCAATAGAGCCCCCCCCCGCCCCGCTTCGGTAAATTTAGTTCTACAGCACGGTGGAAAGCCTTGCAAAGTCTCTATTGCACTATTCGACTATTCGACTATTCGTCGACTATTCGACTATTCGACTATTCGCGGACTATTCGCACTATTCGTCGACTATTCGCGGACTATTCGTACTATTCGTCGACTATTCGCGGACTATTCGCACTATTCGTCGACTATTCGCGGACTATTCGCACTATTCGTCGACTATTCGCACTATTCGCTTCACTATTCTAGTTTTATCAATTGCCAACGTTGAGGTAAACTATAAACATATTTTGATCTTTATTTATTCAGTCAGCCAATACTGAAAATATTTAAACTGAACACCCACCAAATGAAAATTGTTGCAGAAACATTCTTTCCTACCAATGTTTCGCCATGTCGAAATATTGGCAGGAAACAATGTTTCCACAACAATGTTTCCTATAGTTTGCCAAGCGCTTAACGATACCCTAAATGATATAGTTAATTTTAACTACGTTTTAACTACAGTTAACGCTGACTAGCTACATAAATTAACCACCATTTAAGTACAAAATAGTGATTAAAAAGTGTTTAAGAGTTTTATTGTAATTTGTTAACTGTTCCATCGTTAACATCATGGTATAGTGGTAAACACCGAGGCCATCATGAGCGAAAGTTGTGGACCATTCCCAGGTAAAACTCCCGTGTAATTATTTCTTTATTTTCTTTCCCATATTTTTTGCAAAAGTCTTCAGATCGCTCCTGATAAACGCTTAATACTAATATTTTGATAATATTTTGTATATTTGGACAATTTCGTAATGCAGGGTGGTATAGAAAAACACTATCTACAATACAGGAATAAACACAATATTTTTTATTTTTTGCCATTATTTTTTCCTAAAGTCTTCAAATCGTTCCTCATAACAACTTAATACTCAAATGCTGATAATATTTTGTATATTTAGACAATTTTGAGTCGATTTAACTGAACAACGCGATCAAGGGAATTCTTATGCCGGGTGAAATCGAAAAACACTGTCTACAGTACAGCAATAAGCACAATATTGAAATGATGTAATTTGTTCCCTATTTCCATCGTTGACATCATGGTATAGTGGCAAACACCGAGGCCATCATGGGCGAAAGTTGTGGACCATTCTCAGGTAAAAGTCTCGTAACGTTTCGAATAATTTTTTCTTTACTTCTTTTTGCCATTATTCTTCAAAAAGTCTTCAAATCGTTCCTCATAACAACTTAGTACTCATATTTTGATAATATTTTGGATATTTAGACAATTTTGAGTCGATTTAACAGAGCAACCCGATCAAGAGAATTCTTATGCGGGGAGAAATCGAAAAACACTATCTGCAGTACAGCAATAAACACAATATTGAAGTAACGTAATTTGTTACCTGTTTCCATCGTTGATTTCGTGGTATGGTGGTAAACATTGAGGCCATCATGAGCGAAAGTTGTTGACCATTCCCCGTTAAACTCCCGTAACTTTTCGCATAATTTTTCTTTATTTCTTTTTGCCATATTTTTTCCAAAAGCCTCCAAATCGCTCCTCATATAACAGCTTAATACTCATATTTTGATAATCTTTTGTATATTTAGACAATTTTGAGTCGATTTAACTGAACAACCCGACTAAGAGAATTATGATGCCGTGTGAAATCGATAAACACTATCTACAGTAGAGCAATAGACAATATCGAAGTAACGTAATTTGTTACCCGTTTCATCGTTGACATCATGGTATAGTGGTAAACACCGAGGCCATCATGAGCGAAAGTTGTGGACCATTTCCAGGTAAAAACCTCGTCTAATTATTTCTTTATTTTTTTCGCTATATTTTTTCCAAAAGTCTTCAGATCGCTGCTGATAAAAGCTTAATACTAATATATTTGATAATATTTTGTATATATTTGAACAATTTTGTTATGCAGGGTGAAATCGATTCGAAAAACACTATCTACAGTATACAGCAATAAACACATGCAATATTGAAGTAACGTAATTTGTTACCCGTTTTATCGTTGACATCATGGTATAGTGGTAAACACCGAGGTCATCATGAGCGAAAGTTGTGGACCATTTCCAGGTAAAAACCCCGTCTAATTATTTCTTTATTTTTTTGCCATATTTTTTCCAAAAGTCTTCAGATCGCTCCTGATAAAAGCTTAATACTAATATATTTGATAATATTTTGTATATTTGAACAATTTTGTTATGCAGGGTGAAATCGAAAAACACTATCTACAGTATACAGCAATAAACACATGCAATATTGAAGTAATGTAATTTGTTACCAGTTTCATCGTTGACATCATGGTATAGTGGTAAACACCAAGGCCATCATGAGCGAAAGTTGTGGACCATTCCCAGGTAAACCCCCCGTCTAATTTTTTCTTTATTTTTTTGCCATATTTTTTCCAAAAGACTTCAGATCGCTCCTGATAAAAGCTTAATACTAATATTTTGATAATATTTTGTATATTTGAACAATTTTGTTATGCAGGGTGAAATCGAAAAACACTATCTACAGTACAGCAATATACACAATATTGAAGTAATATAATTTGTTACCTGTTCCATCGTTGACATGGTATAGTGGTAAACATCGAGGCCATCATGGGCGAAAGTTGTGGACCATTCCCAGGTATTAGTCTCGTAACGTTTCGTATAATTTTTTTTTATTTCTTTTTGCCATTATTTTTCCAAAAGTATTCAAATCGCTTGTCATAACTGTTTAATACCCATATTTTGATAATATTTTCTATATTTAGACAATTTTGAGTCGATTTAATTGAACAACGCGCGATCAAGAGAATTATGATGATGATGCCGTGTGAAATCGAAAACACTATCTACAGTACAGCTATAAACACAGTATTGAAGTAACGTAATTTGTTACTTGTTTCTATCGTTGACATCAAGGTAAAACTCTCGTAACTTTTCGTATAATTTTTCTTTATTTCTTTTTGCCATTATTTTTCAAAAAAAGTTTCTAAATCGCATGCACCTCCTATATAACAGCTGAATATTCATTTTTAGATATTTTTTGTATAAGGACAATTTTGAGTCGATTTAACCAAGGATCACGAGAGATGAACAAGGATGAACAAATCTGAAGAGAATTCTTGTCCAGGGTGAAATGCAAAAAATCTACATACGGCTAGTATAACGCAAAACAGCGAGTATTGAAGTACTGCAATTTTTTAGCTGTGTACACCGATGCCTTCATGGTATAGTGGTAAAGACTGAGGCCATCGTGCGCGAAAGTTGTGGACCGTTCCCAGGTAAAACTCTCGAAACTTTTCGTATAAATTTTTCTTTATTCTTTTTGCCATTATTTTTCAAAAAAAGTCTCTAAATCGCTCCTCCAAACAGCCGAAAACTCATATTTTGAGAATTTTTAGTATATTAGGACAATTCTGAGTCGATTTAACCAAGGATGACGAGGGATGAACAAGGATGAAGAGCTCTGAAGAGAATTCTTCTGTAGGGTGAAATCGGAAAAATCTACATACGGCTAGTATAACGCAAAACAGTGAGTATTGAAGTACTGCAATTTTTTAGCTGTTTATACCGATGCCTTCACGGTATAGTGGTAAAGACTGAGGCCATCATGAGCGAAAATTGTGGACCGTTCCCAGATAAAACCCTCGAAACTTTTCGAATAATTTTTTCTTTATTCTTTTTGCCATTATTTTTCCAAAAATGCCTCTACATCGCTCCTCCAAACAGCTGAAAACTCATATTTTGAGAATTTTTTGTATATTAGGACAATTCTGAGTCGATTTAACCAAGGATGACGAGGGATGAACAAGGATGAAGAGCTCTGAAGAGAATTCTTCTGTCGGGTGAAATCGAAAAAATCTACATACGGCTAGTATAACGCAAAACAGCGAGTATTCAAGTACTGCAATTTTTTAACTGTTTACACCGTTGCCTTCATGGTATAGTGGTAAAGACTGAGGCCATCATGAGCGAAAGTTTTGGACCGTTCCCAGGTAAAACTTTCGTATAATTTTTTCTTTATTCTTCCTGCCATTATTTTTCTAAGAAAGTCTCTAAATCGCTCCTCCAAACAGCTGAAAACTCATATTTTGAGAATTTTTTGTATATTAGGACAATTCTGAGTCGATTTAACCAAGGATGACGAGAGATGAACAAGGATGAAGAGCTCTAAAGAGAATTCTTCTGTAGGGTGAAATGCAAAAAATCTACATACGGCTAGTATAACGCAAAACAGCGAGTATTCAAGTACTGCAATTTTTTAGCTGTGTACACCGATGCCTTCATGGTATAGTGGTAAAGACTGAGGCCATCATGAGCGAAAGTTGTGGACCGTTCCCAGGTAAAACTCTCGAAACTTTTCGTATAATTTTTTCTTTATTCTTTTTGCCATTATTTTTCCAAAAATGTCTCTAAATCGCTCCTCCAAACAGCTGAAAACTCATATTTTGAGAATTTTTTGTATATTAGGACAATTCTGAGTCGATTTAACCAAGGATGACGAGAGATGAACAAGGATGAACAACTCTGAAGAGAATTCTTGTCCAGGGTGAAATGCAAAAAATCTACAT